AAAAAATATTTTGAAAAAAGTAAATACTTTTCGAGATAATTAGTGTACCCACTTAAAAGAATCACACTGTAGACATGACATTTTTTACAAATCTCTTTGGTTACTAAAATAATATGTGATTTAGATCACTTATCACTATAAACGATACTCCAACTAAATAAACACAATGTACTCGTATAATCAATTTTATTAGCTGGAGGATATCTATTTAGTGTTTTTACTTATTAGTTATTAACAATTACTTTACAATTATGAATTAACCAACCGGAAAAAGTTGCAATCCATATAATCTTTAGGTATTGGTTATTACTTTATTAGTTATTACTATTAGCTGTATTATTCAAATTATGATATTATATTTTAACTGTAATAAATTTAACTAAATTTAAAAGTTTTATAGACTTTAACATAACATACACTAAACTATATCCTATAATAGTACTTAATATAATCATTTATAGTTTATTATACTATACGTAGGAATCATACGATATTAATYGTGCTATTTTTAAAAATACATAATAAATACATTAAAAGTGGTTTTTTTAATTTAAACATGCTTCATTTCATTTAAAAATCAAATAATATRTAATATATTTTTAATTGGCAGTAGAAACTTTTACATTTGATATAAATACGCTTATGTAATTATGTTTTATACTCATGGTATACTTTAGGACATTTGCGTAATTCCATTACATTATTGGTGCAATACTTTCATTGGTTCAATAGCCATAAAGACAAATTATTGTGTTATATTGAAGTCAATCACGCTTTGCTCACGTACACCATTTTTTTATATTAATTGATTACATTGATTACATTTAAAAAATAAATGTGTATATTTTAAACCTCGTATGCGAGTAATTCACATACAAAATATTATTATTTATTTATTTATTTAATTGTGTCAATATACCAGATATTTTTACAATGTTAAGTACTATATAAAAAATAAATTACAATATTTATGTACAGTAAAAATGTTAATTTTAAGTCTACGATAATTACGCTATTATAATTCATAACAAATCATAAGTACAAGCACCGTCAGAATGCACCACATGCGGAGTAAACCTCTCAGTAAAACACTTGATGATAGAATACCGATCAAATGAAGAAGAAAGAGAAAAACTAGATATATCAACCAACTTATACGAATCAATCGGACCCGACTGTCAACCCGAAAAAATCATGTCATTCCTCAGGACAACCAAAATAGATAAACACATTTAATTAGAATAAATATAGTTTTAAGAATAGTATAATGTAAATTATGTATAAAGCTAATGGCCCATGTCGCCGAAGCTATAAAGATCAATAAAAAAAAAAAAAAATATGAAACATTGAAATTGTATATTGTATTATACATATTTCAATAGGAATCAGCTTTAGCAGGTGCAAAAGCATACCAGGGGGTGTAAGTGCATCCCCATAATTTCACCAATACTTTAGGTGTATTATAAAATATACCTATCATAGTATCATCTATTTATGATATTATTATTTTGGAAAGTTAAAACATTTTAACTTCTTAAATTAAATACGTATTGTGATCATTGAAATATGAGTATGCCATGTTTTATGTTTTTATATATTATTATGTTTCTTGAGTATTAAATTTCACATATAATTAATACAATAGGTAATTGCACTATTTTAATTAAATTTACAAGCTAAATTAATTTATAAAAGCTATATTAAACGTATTGAACTGTTTTTAAATACCTAGATAGACTTAATTTTAGAACTCTCTTTGATTACTAAAAAATATGTGATTTAGATCACTTATCACTATAAAAAGATACTCCTATTAAATAAATATATTGTATAATCTTCTCCATTAGCTGGAGGACATCCGTTTAGTGTTATTACTTATTAGTTATTAATAATTATAATAAAATTTGTATGAACCAATGAACCACCAACCTGCAGGCAATACATGTGACCTATATAATACTCGTAAATCATTTTTGGTTATTAGGTTATTTGGTACTTATTATTTATTATTTATAACTTATTACACTTATATTTATATTAGCAATATTATCTTAACTATAGTGTTTATTTATATTATACGTAGAGAACCTGTATTGTGAATTGAATTACTGATCGTGCATTTTTTTTAAATTTATAATAATAATAATAATAATAATAGTTATCGTATTACTTAAATACTTCATATTATTTTTTAAAAATCAAATAACATTTAAGATGTAAATTTATATATTTTTTTTATTTACATTTTAGACCTGGCTGCCAGTACAGTCCCACATTTGGACCTATTCATGTCGTTAGTCGGTTCTGTAACTTGCGTTGCACTCACCATGATTTTCCCTGCACTATCTAATTTGGCGTTCCGGACGAAAGAAAATGGTTTATCTTTCAGTTCATTTTTTGATATGATTACCATAATTACGGCAGTGATTGGTTCGGTCACCGGAATTTACGCCAATACAACTGCCATTTACGAGGCGTTCTCGCAAAACCACAGTAATGGCTAAATCTGGCTCAGACGTTTGGTTGGTTGAATATCCGTTCTATATTATTACAATATCATGTCACTATTGACACCCTTGTATACTATTATAAATATTTAGATTGCTGTATTTTATATTGTTCTTATAATAATAATCAGTTTTTCTGAAAGTAATTCTATTATTCGGAATATTAAACGTGAAAGTTAGAAAACCGGAGAATAAAATAAAAAGCATCATTAAGAAAACTATAAAAGAAAGTGAAAAAAAAATCTCAAGTAGAGCTATTATTCAGTATTAACTTTTTTTTATGTTACATACCCTTATTTTATTCATCCGAGTAGGTTTTATTGCATAGCATTTTTTATTTTATTAATTGTTATACGACTGACTTAATATAACTTGAATTTAAAATAATTATACAATTAAATATTTATTGGAATTATAAGATTTTTTCCATGTGACTTTTACATATTTTTCGTTGCAAATTTGTTGCATTTTTAACGCATTAAATCCGATCTGAAGTTATCATTTTTAAACATTATATTATCAAGGCATTTTTTATGACCATTTACTAATTCATACATATTAAACTAAGTCTTATTCAATGAAAAAATATATAATTTGAAAATTCAAGTACATCGTTCATTGTTCATTAGTTTAGATGTTTAGTATTTATAATTTTCAATGTTAATCATCTTGGTGATTTTTTTATTTTACGAACATTTTGCTGTTAATTTTTTTTATTTAAATGATTTATACATTTTATATGAAACAAGATCATCAACTTGTCATCAGTTATTTTATGATATTACACAATTAGTTGAATATCTTTACACAAATATAAACTGATGGTAAATGTTAAAAATAAATTGTTTTGTACATTCAAAACACGATATCATTTATAATCAATTCTAATTTAATCAACCTTCTGTAAAATAATTTGTATATTAATATTAAGCAATTACCTTCCAATGTAACCCCATGAATTTGTAGTAGCCAATGGCCCTAGATGCCGAGGTTTTTATTAATAAAAAATAAATAAAAAATTGTTTTATGAATTTTCTGTATTATATACATAGATTGTTTAGAGTGTTGATAATATAGTGAAACCTTTGAATACCGGACACTCTTGGTCTCTAAAATTTTGACCGTTATTCGGAAGTTGAAATTGTAGAAAGTTTGTAGTTTATTTCTACAACAATATTAGTTAGTTGAGGTATCCCCATTAAGGGAGTTTTACTGTATTATGCTATAGGAAATATAACATACCTAGTCACTACTTAGTACTTACCTAGTTACACATGTTACACAGAGTTATAGGTGCGTATGATAAGCAATTTAGCAATATTTATGCATTTTCCTTTATACATTTTAGAATAATCTAGACATAAATTTTATAAGTGAATAGTAAAATAATAGGTAGGTACACACCATCTAATTATCTGAACCCAAGTTATATTTATTTGTCAACTAATATACCTAAATCCTAGATATTTAAATTTTTTATGTGGTTCAAAATCAGCATTCAATCAGTTTTCGATTTTTGTTATATTATTTAAGTAAAGACAAATCTGTATTAGTGTATAGTAAACAATAATAAACGATGACAAAGGAGTAGTATTGTTCACACAGGGCCTTCTCTAAAGTCGGTTTTAACAGGAAAAAAAACAAACACAAATAGTTTGAGTCTATATTATGATAAAGTTGAAAAAAATTGATTTTGTAAAATTATATATGTGGTAGGATATCCACCAAAATGTTATTCTATATACTCTTCCACATAATATTCTATCTATAAACTATTCCATGCAGGTATTTTAGGTCTAACTTAATTACCTTAACTTTCTATGAATTATCAATCAAATAAACAATGTTACTTTAAAATATTTTATAAGATATATGAATACTATTAAGACATTAAGTAGATACCTACTTTAATATATATCAACTTTTTACATTACGTATTTGTTAACAAAATTAGATAGTTACCTTGAATATACAATTTGTCTTGCGATAAAGTTATCACGAAATCTTTCATAACCTTAAATTGTATAGCGCATAACCTTGAATTTAATTTAATTTTTTTTTGAATACGCAGCAACAAAAAAATTCTTTATATCTCCCCTCTTTTTCTATGTTAAAATTTAAATTACATTATTTTTTAGACAATATTAACTTGTAATGTTTTTTTCTRTCTTATTTTTTTGTTTTTTAAAATGCTTTATTAAATCTGTTATAAAAATATGAACAATAAGAACAATTATTGAGGAAGTAAATAGATAGAACAAAAATATATGTATATTGTATACATTATTTTTTTCTTTCTTAAATTCTTAATAGTTGTTTGATTGAGAGTATGCTTCAATGCGTATATATTATATTTATCGCATTTTTAACTAACTAAGACTTTACAAATTTATGTAATTTGTTGAAATTTTAACTCGCTCTCAAATATCAAACAGACAATTTTCAAGATATAAAAATAATCAGGTAAAATACTTGGGAATTTTACTAGACAAAAGATTGACACGGGGACCTCATCTAAAGTCCAAACGTAAAATTCTTAACCACCGCCTTCATCTACTCAGGCCGATTCTTAAATCCAAACTTTCAATACATGCTAAGTCCTGCACATTGTACAAATCTCTACTCAGACCCATCTGGGCGTATGGTATGCGAATCTGGGGATGTGCCAAACCTTCCCAAGTCCGAAGCTGCCCAATCCATCACTCTCCGGCTAATAGCCTCGGCCCCATGGTATGTAACAAATGAAACCCTACACAATGATTTAAGAATTCCAACAGTTGACCAACTAGCTAAATTATACTATAATAGATTTCACTCCAAACTGCAACACCATCCAAATCCTTTAGTCACTCACCTAGCATCACGTACTCTTCCTGACAACCCACCACGCCGACCTAAAAGAAATTGGTGCCGTGACCTATTAAATTAATGAACAAAAAATAAATTACTAGAGGGTACCATCGCTGGATGATTTCCCTCATCATGTGCCTCATGTGTATTTTTATTTTACTTATTGTGTCATGTAATACAGATTGTAAATTTTCTAATAAAAAAAAAAAAAAAGATTAAAACAATTTATAAGTCAGTAAATAGCTAACAATTATTATGTGATACAAATTCAACTAAAAACAAAAAGTTGCAATTCAAAACAATTTRGTTTTGATGTCAAAACGGGAAAAAAGTTTTAAAATTAAATTTTTTCTGATATACATTTTAGTAAGTAGGTACCTAGCGAAAAAAAACTGAGTCAATTTCAAAATCTTGTGTTTGGTACATTTAAAAGCCAATATAAACAGATTACTTGTCTTTATAAAAATAAAACATTATAATAGCTAATCTTTAATCACAGCCTTATTTTTTTTTGATTTACGCTTTTACATTGTTAGCAAAACATATACAGATATAACTTATAATGAATTTGGAATGTCTATAAAATATTAAATTTGATTAGTTCACTGAATTTAAAATGTATTCTGTTTTTCTCTAAATAAATCGTTTATTCAGCTAAACCCATTTACTTACATTAAGATAGAAATAAAAACYGAGAATAGTACATGTATTAATCTTATATACCTACATTAAAAGATTTTAATTGTGAACCTACAAATTATAGTCGTCGTGGATAAATTATGTGGAATTACAAAATAAATTTGCTTCTATTTTATACAATATATTAGTATATAATATTATATTAT